AATAGAGGCTGCTGCCTCCTGATTGCAGAGCAGCCCAAGGTCTAAATGGCAACAAAACGTTATACATAATGTCTGATTCACTGCGTGGAGAATGTAAAGAATTGAGACCTCCCGACACAGTTTACATTGGCCCTTTTTATGACTAATTGTGCAGAAAATAGCTCTGCTTGTAGTGTGCATGGAAACAGTTCAGATTTCTGCTGTGTGTCAGCTAATGGCTAGCAAGGCTTTTTTAGCAAGACTTCAAAGGCTCTGGCAATGGAGGTCCTTTGTGAGGGAATTATCTCCTGCTCCTTTGTACCCCGTTATCCTTCTAAGCCATGGAACAAAGAATTTGCGAAACGAATAGACAAAGTAATTTGTAGTAGATCTCTAAACCTAGATAAAGTAAATAACATTTGCTTAAAAACATTTTTTCTGCTTCTGTCATCAAAACAATGGTTATAATTTTGCTGTGTAGGAACACCCAAGTTCATCTAGCTTTTGAGGGATGCAACCTGATGCTTAGGTTATTGATGAGGGTCACTAGGATGCCTGAAATGGAAAAGGAGAGCTTTAGTTTATATGGTCAGAAAATACATGGCTGTCAAGAGTTGGTTGAGAAGTGTCTTTCTGCCTCAGGATGTTCCACTAAGAAAGGAAGAAAGTGCATTCTTTCAGCAGTGTGTTTGTGCATGGACGTGCTTTAAGGAAACCATGTATATTTCACATATTTTTTTACATGTTTTTTAGTTTAAAAAACCCAAATTTATGGTTTATTCTTTGTTTCTTCCAGTGAAAAATGAAACCTTGGGGAGATAAGGAAACACATTACATCGATCTGCTTTGTGTAGTCCAAAGCACAGTTCTTAATTAAAAATAAAAAAGCAAACCAGGGGTGGAAGGTCTATGATTAATGTTGGCAACCATGCTGTATAATGTGTTCCTCCACTGTCTCCAGATCCTTGTCTCAAAAAAATAAGACATGAGTGAAAGGAGAATAATCTTGGCCTCATCAAATTTAGTAAGAAACCCCCTTATAAGTGCAGCAGCCACACTGACCACTCCACTGTGTTTGTGTTTGTGTTCAAACTACAAAATAATTGTGTTTAGCTCTGGGTCTTGTCCTCAAGCAAACCCCATGAGTATCTCCCTTTTCTCAGATGGTGGAAGGATTGCATCCACACCTGGGCATTTTTAATCTTAAACTGTTAGGGGTGGCTGCTCTGCATATCTCCATGCCCAAATACAGACTTTCTCTTCAGGTCCCTGTGTAGAAAATCTTTTATGTCTGCTTTCTCTCCTTTTCCACTTCCATGGATTTCCCAAGGCAGCTGATGTTCTGACCTCTCGGATCCAGTTTTCATCAGCTGTCAAGATAAATTTGGTTAATACTCCAGGAATGGTTTATTCAGGTTTAGACTGAAGAGGGAATAGTGATGGAAATGCAAGATCATTCCCTTGCCTCTCTAACCTGTCTGATATGTCTCTAGATGCACTAAATTTTCAGTAGTTATACTTTCTTGAGGTTTTTCCCAGGCCCAGGAAGAGAAATTTTTCAAATATTTAAGGAGAAGCACATACGCACACACACACACATACACAAAGCTCATTTATTTTATATCTGTAAATAAAAATTAAATCCGCTGATGTTATAAAGAATATGACAGTAACTCTTTTTGCACATAGAGCAGCAAGAGGCAGCAATTTGATGTTTTTCACTGATGCTGAGATTGTCTCTAATATGCAGGTTATTTTGTTTTCATCACATGCCATAAGCTGTCAAAGTGTTCTGTTGTTGTCAATATCTAACAAGTGAGTCCTTCTCTCAAGTTGTGGGTGACTAGGGAGAGTTATTTTATGTAAGGTATTTCTCACACAGATTTTCCTGTATTTTAAAACTGAAAAGGATAATTATGATGGACTTCACAGCAGGAGGTTGTGAAGGAGGCTGTGAATTCCTTCCAGGAATTCTTTAACCTTTCATGTTTCACGTTACCTGCCTACACTGGATCTCTCAAGTGCCACCTTTTTCCTTAAACCTTCTTCTTCCACATCTCTGATCCTGAGGAACTCCTTGCCATGGGATAACATGGATCACTGTTGGGAAATGTCTGTGTTGGGTGGGAAATTACATCATGCTGAGCATGCATAATTTATGTCATGTTTTCATGAAATTAATGAAATTTTGCTTCACTAAAGCAGAACATGATTTCAGGTTGCTTGTGGTGTGCATGAGTTGGCTACAACAGTGTTACCATGATATAAAATGAAGAGATGGATACAAAACCAACCTTAATATGTGAATTCTGACTGGACAGGAAAGTTAAGACAAATAGAAATAAAAAATGTTCAATGAGGTGGAGAGGATGTATTAACAGGGCAAGCTGGTGGTGAGATGGGTGGTAATTTATCCAGATGCACTTGGAATAATATAAACAGGTAAATTTTAAGCAGAGTCTAAAGGTTAAGTTTTGCAAAGACTTGCTCACGCCATCTCCTAGTAGTTGTTAAAATTTTGGGCTCTGTTGATATATGTAGAATGGAGAATTATTTGAGGGTTAGCTCAAAGTTGGACTTTTGTTTTAATTTTTTTATTTCTTTGTATTTCTGTTCTCTTGGTTGAACTGGAGCATTGAAAAAATTTCAGTATGTGTCGGATTGTGGAATACAAGGAAATAACTATGATGTTCGCATGGATATTTGTAATTAAGATTTTAATTTATTTGGGAATTTTAAGTTGAGGGGTATTTAATGGAAGCTGGCATTCCTTCCAGTTAGGAAAGGCAAAATTAAAAGATCAAACCCTATTGCCGTGCTGCACAGCAGGTCACCAGTCTCAGACAGAGGCTGGCAGCTTTCAGCATGGTATCCACACAGATAAAATGTCATATTTTTGTCTTCATCCATCACTTGAAGGGACGTGCAGGCTCTACTGAGGAGCTGGCATTGTCGACAGACCTACCATTGTGTGGATGAGGAGTCAGAGCTTCTGCATAGTTACTTTTTTCCCTGGGTTTAAAAGAGTTAAAATTGGTTTCTCTTGTGCTGTCATGTTGTCAAAGACTTGCTGGATTCAGGACAATTATTTACATTATGAAATCTTTTGGCATTTAAGACTCTGGCTCAGGGAAAATAAAGTGGACTCGGAAACATCTCGGACTCTGATACCTTTGACTTTGGCTCCTCAGTGTCACTTTGCCAGTGACAGAATGGGGACCTTTGTTTGCCTTGGCCACTGCATAAAAAAACAGGATATGATCAAATCCAGTTAATCATTCACAAATGTCTCATTTCTTGAATCTCTGAGGGTGCATAACACATTTTTGGGACTGTTCTTTGCTGCTTTGGCTTTTGTTATAAGTAAGTTAGAAAGGGGAAAATCAAATTTTGAGTTTTCTTAAAAGGAAGTGGAGGAATCCTGGAACACACTAGGGCTCTGCAAATGTACATTTAATCATTTAAAGAAATGTCTTTTGGCTAAGAGCTCTTACCAGCACTTGCAAGTTGCACTCAAAGCCATAGAGCTACCTCGTTCCAACAACTGAGGCGAGTTAGCGCCCTTGTTGGCAGCGGGAGCAGGGGGTGCAGGCTGAGCAAATCCTGGGGGCTGGATGCTCTCACATTCATCAGGACTTTGTGCAGTGTGGGTGAAGAATCCCCGGGGTGACTCTGCTGGTGGCTGCACCAGCTCCTTGCACTGCAGGGTCCGTGGAGGGGGACTCAGGCACGTCTCTGCCTGCCTTGGTTTTTTCAGTGCAAGGCATTTGGCTCTGCTGTGGAGCAGAGAGAGCTCTGCAAGGGCAGTCAGAGACAGCTCATGCAGACATTTTCTCTGTGCTCCAGGCAAGCACATGCTCTCCAGGCAGCAGCAGCAAACCAGAGGAGTGAGTTCTTACACCCCACACCGTGGTGGAACTTCCTCCTCCGGGATGCCACAGGGCACAGAGCACATGGAGGCTTGAGCACATTCCTGGTGATTGTGGCGTTCAGGGCTGGCAGCGAGATGCAATGACCTGGCTGTAAATGGGGGTCACCCGGCTCTGCAGAGCTGGAAGCTAATGGATATAATGGATATAATGGAGGAGGATTGTTCTGTCCTTCCTCGGTGTCAGTCATGGCTGCTGCTGGAGACAGATTACAGTGCTATGTGGATTTTAATAAACCTGTTTGTGGACTTCTTGCTTCTTTACTTTATATATCCAACTCATCCTGCAAACGGTGTGGGACTCTGACAATAAGTGGAAAGCTTTGGCTGGATTACACTGCCTTATTGAGTCTGTGCCCAAAGCCCTTTGAGGGCTCCCATTGACTCCGGTGGGATTTGGTTAAGACTTCAAGTATATGGGACTCCCTTAAGTAAACTCTTTCAAGGCCTGTACACTCTGCAATACTTACTGGGCTCCTTGTTACTCCTGCGAATAGGAATGTGACCTTTACACTTCTAACAAAGAGCCTTGAATTACAGGACTAAATCTTCATGTTTTGAGAGATAAGGTTACCATCCCAGCTCCTCCCAGCCCTGCTGTGCAGGTGGCTGAATGGCTGATGAGGCAATTCCTGAATCACTGTGATTTTAGTCAGACAAGTGCTCAGCATGCAGCAGCATCAGCTTCAGAGTCTCTTCATTAGCAGATGTCCCTGAACAGTGATGGTCAGGGTTGTAAGTTGTTCCGTTTCATGAGTCAAAGCCCTACTAATATCCCTTTGCCACTGCAGGGTCATTCTGATCTCCGTGTTGGAAATTTATTTAATCAGTGTACATACTAAAAATGGTCACAGTGGAAGGCAAGCCATCTAGGTTTCCTAGGTTTCCTATTGTCCACCCAGTCCCTTGGCCATGTGAGGGGAGGGAGGGATAAATAAGATAGAAGAAGAAAGTGTTTGGGCTGTATGCTGTCCCTTCCTCTGGTCTAGTTTCTGGTGCCGTTGCCTCCCAAAACTGCTGTTCCAACAGGAGAAACTCAAGTGAGTGAGAGTAGTAGTTTGATTGACAGTGCTATTTTCTACCTGTATTTTAGGTCACTTCCTGGGTAACAACACTGTGATTGATGTACTGAGACAAGCAGGATTTGAAGTGGAGCACACCCCTCCTGGACAACCAATTGGAAAGTAAGCAGCTGCCCACAGATTATTAATCACTTTCTCTCCTTTTTTCTCTCCCTTTTTCTGTGACTAAGCAAGATTATTGCATTAGTATAGGAGGTGGGTGAGGAACCTCCCTTTCCCACCCAATTTCCAGACAAAAAGTTCATTGTAAAGCATCCATTGTGTGAGTTTGGAAACATATGGAGCCTGAATGGCTGGTGTTTTTGTGGGTTTTTTCCACTTGGGGACATTATTTATATCACAGCTGCTTCATTATACCAGCTCAGAAGTGCCATGGTTTCTCTAAAGAAACATCTCAGTCAGCTCATTTTCCCCCAGAGCTGTTTTTCCTTTTGCTCTCCGTGGGGTTTTAGTTGCTTCTCCATTGCAGACCTCTCTGTCAGGCTGCTGTTCTTCAGGTGGAATTTCAGTTTTTTCCTGAAGGACCACATTTAGTGTAGCAGATGCACCTTTGAAAGTGTGTTGGGCAGGTAGAGAGCAATTCATATTCCCTGAGCCTCTCCATCTTATCTGGTCAAGTAAGGCAAGCAAGAAGGACTGATCAACAGGCTCTTGGCAATCTTCATTAGTATAAAATATGGCACAAAATTGTCCTTAGCTGGCAAAACAGACTTTCTTCATCCCATAGACTTTTCTTTTTCCTGGCCGTTTAAATGAGGTCTCTGTCTGAAGAAATCACAGACAATAAAACCATGAGGGCTGGTCAGAGACCTTCTAGCTTTGCAAAATCAGCCTTTCCCCTACATTCTGCAGATAAAATTTGGCCAAGGCTACTCTGTCATAGGATTGTTATCCTCATTAGGAGAAAGTGTTAGCAGCATGCTCCTGTCCCTGGTGGGCAGACATGACATGGTCCAAAACCGAGGTGAGTCTCAATGAGGAGGATTAATGGCAGAGGTAGTAGACCATGTCTGAAAAAAGCTGTGTGTAATCTACTTGGAAAATCTGGCTGATCTAACCTTGTTTGGGAAACATCCGCAGTGATTCATATAGAATATAATATGGCTCAACTGTACATAAGTGTTCTTTGACAGAGCATTTATCCTAAATGCTTCTTGGAATCTGTTGAGCAATAAAAGCATCGTCTTAAATAACAATGGGGGAAAGAGGAAGAAAAGGCTGTTAAACACCACCAGTATGAGAGTATATTCAGAGGAGATTTAAGAAGCACTTTGGCGGGGGAGAAAAGTCAACATGGTGCAGGGAAGAGCAGTAAACACTGTAACAGTCTGAAGCTGGAAATTTTTTACTAAAACCAAGGAAAAAAATAGCAAAGCAGAAAACCCAAGCAAACTATAGCAGAACAGCTGAGGTGTACCATTCCTAGGTTTCTGACAAAGAAACTTTCCACTCACGGAAGCAGACACTTTCTTCAGCAATTTTCATTTAGTTGAAAGTATCATCTTCCCATGAAAAGTGTTTCAACTGGAAATTGTGAAACTATTAATTTATTGGCTGTTGCAAGCCCTTGAGAAGAACTAAAGATGCAGTAGTGTGAGAGAAGTCCAAGAATAGTCTGTGCTCTCTGGTGTTAGGCTATGTCTGTACACATCATCACAGACTTGAAATAAAGGATGGGGCAGGAAACTTGACTCAAAGCCAGTGCTTAATGTTGGCTTATTTGCAGAGTGGGGCGCCTCTGTGTGCACATTCCCCTACCTTGGCAGCAGTGTCTGCTGTTCATGATGTCTTCCCTAAAATTCTCAGTCCCTGGGGGAATGCACCTGAAAGCAAGAGGGCTTGGGCTCTTCCTGTGTCCTCAGCTGAATGGTCCCACAATGGGTAACTTCTGTTCCCAGCTCCAGAATATTGTGTTGGTCAGGTTTGCCTGGACTAGAACCCTAATTCCAGTGGGGTCTGCTCTGAACATTGAACATACAGAACTTTATTAAAGGGTAAATGGTTGTGCAGGAATACTGGATGGAGTAGAGAGAGAACACATGGTTGCCCCCACAAAGATTAGATGCCCTATGAGTTTTCCTGTGGTCTGATGATAAGGTAGATCTGCCAGTTCTAGATGAGAATAAAGAAAGAAAAATAAATTGCATAGCAAAAAAGTCCAGAGTTGCCACTAGACTGAATTACTCAAGGTGCAAAAACAGCAAAAAACTATAGAAATTGTGAATAAAGAGCATTCAAATATATTCACAGGAAACAGCTTTCTGCCTTTAGAAGAAAAAAAGACTCTAAACTGCACATCAGGGACTGTATTGTCATTTTCCTGTAACAGGGGCTGTAGCTATCAGAAGTGCTTGGGGCTCCCTCTTAGAAATGAGGAGGCTGCTGCAAAACATTTTGGCTCTTTTTTTATAGAATAGCTTGTATTTTATGATTTCTGGGTGAGCTGCAAAAGGCAGTCTAGCCAAACACAGTACAACGTCGTGATAGCATGACAACTTAATAGTTGTTGTGTTGTTTATGGTATATTGTCATGTTGCTGTAATTGAGTAATAAGGAACCTTGCATTTTTGTCTAGCCTTCCTTTTTTTTACTCTTCTCTTTCCTTTTTAAAAGGTGAAATAAAAACAGTTGAAAGGCCCAGAAGAGGAACTATTTTGCTATAGTGACTGTAGTAACAAAATATATACATAGAATAAACAAATAGAAGCTCAACAAATTTTGAACAGCTTATGAAGCAGAAATTATTTTGTGGGTTACAGAGGTGCAGGTGTTCTCATCTTGATTCTTGTGGAGAATGAAGAGGTATTTCTCTCCTGTGCTCAAGTCCAAAAGTGACATTTCTGCTTTACTTCCAAATAAGTTGTATAAGGGAGTCAAGCCCACTGCATTGCATTCTGGCATTGACAATTGAAAAATTGGATAGTGTTCAGGGAAGATCAGCTGGATTCTAAAGTGGAGTTTGGGGGGGTGGACTGCACATGGAAAAAATGCAAGGGTTGGAAAAAAAAATTGAAGCAGCTGCATGCTTATGTTTTGGCAAAGGGAACTCAAAAAAAGTGTTGTGGACAGACTGTATGCAGAAGAATGAAGAGGAACAGTTTGAGCTGGCACATAGGAATGTTTGAAAGTATATCAGATTGAATTTGAGGGTGGTTTTGGATGAATATCAGCGATTCTTTGACAGTGATTTGCAGGACAATTTTTCTCAGGTTAAGTAAGAAGCCCCATTATATGAAAGTAACTTCAGCAAAACACTCATGCTATGTCCTACTTACTACCTTGCCAAAAAAGCAAATGGTCATTTTCTTTAATCTCTCTATTCCCAGAACAGTATGATTATTGACATGATTAGTAGTCTGATCTTCATTGTTCAACAGTAATTCAGCAGTATTACCATAAATAGGTGGAGTATAGTCTGGTATGATGTTTAAACTCTGCCCTCCATTTTGGTTTTAGGAAGGACAAGAGAATCCCTTTTGTAGAAAATAACTAGCACTGTTCCTATGTATCAGAAAAAGAAAAGCCTTGAGAAGAGTGAAACAGGACTAAGACTAAAGCTGTTTATGCTTTCAGTTGCATACAGACTGGGTAAAGCCAGAAGATTGTTGGCTTCCTCTGTCCAAAATGCTAAGCATGGGTTGTGAAATGGCTGCTCTTTAAGCCAACCAAACTGAATACCTAGAGTCTCACATTTCTGTAGTCTAGTGACAAGCACAGACTTGAGCCAAATCCTCCCTTTCCTAAGGTAGTGGGGAAAAATAAGGTGAGATCTTGTCTGATAGAAGGGTCTGATGGCTCCAGAATCAGTTAACTGGCAAAGAAAAGTTTATATAAAGTACATTTAGCTGGTGTGGAGCTATTTGGGAACTCTTACTGACTGGATTTCTGAAATCTCCTGGCTCCTCCTGTTGATCTGACTGGCCCAGTGTTGACCTTCCTGTGCCTCTTCCAGAATTCCACCAGCTGGCTATTGAAAACACCTTCTTTAAAGCTCAATGCCTTACTATAAAAGAAACCCTGTTCTATTCATCATGCAGAACAATGCCATAAACACTTGAGAACTTATTCTCACATTGGCTTAATTTGTTCATTTTGTTGCCTGAGGGAAGTGTCCTGAATCTGTTTGCGTGACAGCCTTCAGCAGCGTTCCTATTTGCCTCTTATTTTTCTGGCTGTCATCCTTGTCCCCAGATAAAGGCATTGGAAAATTAGTGGCTAAATCAATATCTCATTGCTTTGCCCTGAGATAAGAAAGGCAGGGTGTTTTTTTTGTGGAGTTCTGCCAACTGGCTGTCCCTGCTCCTCTCTGTCTTCGGAAAACAGAGCTGCATGCTTGGGGTTGGGAGAAGGAGGAGATGGGAGAAAGTTTTCCCTTAGATGGATTCCAGTGACTTGAGCAGATAAAGGGCCACAGCTGCTTCACATTTAACTGGAAACAGCCAAACTGCAAGATCAATCCAGGAAGCACCTGTGTCCATGATGACTCTATTGGTGCTGGGTTCTCAGAATCAGCTCTGACCTTCTGCCATGTGCCAAGCCCTGTCCCCTTGGCCAGGAGAACATGCAGCAGAGCTCACTTCCATCAGGCTGCTCTCTCTGAGGATGGCACCAGTGCTGCCTTCTTTCAGAATCAGGGAGTTCAGGATGAATCAAAGTATTCAGAACAAGTTTTTATGTCTGCTTGTGTGAGAGTTTGAGAGTTTATTGTAAATTAATTACCCTTGCTCCTTATGTTCACACTTCCTGTCCCAGTTGAAGTAATGTGTCTTTGCTATTGTAACTTACTCCTGTCCTTCTGTCTGAAGCAAAGAGCTTCCTCCCTCCCTTCTCCAATAGCATCCTACAGATGTGACCCTGGCTCTGCTACTCGTTGTTGTCTCAGGGTGGAAGGCTCTGCTCCCCTAGGAATGCTCTCTCCTTCTCCATGGGGTGAAAGCAAAGTCCATCCACACAGTGATGCAGACACTTCACTCCATCAGGATCCCTAACCCTCTCAAGGTGATGGACAGAACTGGGAAAAATATTTGACATAACATTCCCCACAGCCCCAGTTTGCTAAACCCAGTTTAGGAGAATCTAGAAAATTACAGATGCCCTCAGAA